AATGCTTGAGTAGTCATCCGGTAGGGTGCTCGATGAGGTGGCTCTGTCCCGGGGAGTAATTCAATGCGATGGTCCATGGCACACTTTGGTGGTAGACCTGGAGGTAGCTCCGCTAGAAAAACATCTGAATATTCCACCAGTATCTCTTTGACTTCTCTTGGAAATGGTGTATCGATTTGGCATCATCCAACTCCACGATTGCATTCACTTCCTTGTACTCTTGGTCTTCTGTCTTGTCTTCACTGATTGGCCCCACGATAGCCACATACACATCTTCGTGTCGAGCAAGCCGCTTCATCTTTTGGGCTGAGACTTGCATACTCATTGCCCATTTCCCGAAGATACTGGAAAGTTTGGCACACTCCCTTATAGGGTAGTCGCTCTTCAAAACCACCGTCTTCTTCCCCACTTGAATGCTAATGGTGCCGGCTCTCCAATCAATGCTTGGATTCCATCTATCCAACCATGACTTCCCCAAGATCGCATCATACTTGGGGAGTTTCATCACATGGAAATCCAAGAACCCGGCATGCTCCTCATAGCTCACTTGTGCATCTTTCATAATGCGATTGGATGCTCTCATTAATCCATCCGCCAAATACACTTGCATCTTTTCATGACTTCTCACTGTTCTCAAGTCATGCTCACTGATGAAGTTTCCACTAGCTCCACTGTCTACAAGAAATTGGACAGGGACGCCATTAACTTCTCCCGAAATACACAATAGTTGTGTCATTGACATTGACACACCTGATGCTGTCTTATCCATGGACTTCCCAATGTAGCATTCTATCTCAGAGGTATCGCCATCGCCAGGTACATCCTTTGCAGTGGTGGATTCTTGAGGACAGACTGGTTGAAGTGTGTCTACTGGAAGACTCGCTTCTGTGGACTCAACACTTCCAAGTTAATGTGTGTCTACTGGAAGACTCTCTTCTCCGGACTCAACACATCCCGGTTTCTTAGTATCTTGATCAGAGACACCAACCAAATCATAATTTGTAGCGGCAACCTCATGTACCGCTTCCCTTTTAGGAACGGCGTCCACCCGCGGGGCTTCAAAACGTAGCATGCTTCTTGCTTGGTCAGATCTAGCTTTCTCAACAATCCGAGCGATAGACCCATACTCAATCACTGGCTCTGACATTTCTGCGGGTCTAGCATCTTCAAGAACAGTCGATGACAGAATCTTGGTCCCTTCCGCTACCATCACTTGGCCATCCTTGTCATCTGGCCCTTTCATTGAGTCGGGTGTTGTCCGGTCATTGTCCCCGATATTCAACGATCGTTGAAGTTTCCCTGCCTTCCTCCAGACTTGTACTTCTTTATGGGACAGTCCCTACTTTAGTGTCCTGCGTTGACCTTGCAGCAACAATAGCACCCCTTGTTGTCTTGAAGGTACTTCTTCTTTTCTGGAGTCAAAGGTTTCCTCTAGACGTAGCTTGTCCCAATTTCCATCGGCTCAGGTCCTCCAGACATCTTCGGTTGAAAGGTCCGCGGTCCATCAATGTTCAATCTACCATGCGACGAATTGCCCTTGAACCAACTTGGCTTTCCACCCGCGCCTTGGCCAAAAACTCGAGCAAGCACATTGTAGGCTCAATCGGTATATCTTGCAGCTTCTTCAAACGTCGTTGGCTCTTTCAACTCCACTTGTATCCATACATTCACATTCAAAGCCCGAAGGAACTTGTCCAGCTTTTCCGCCTCCGAGAGATTGTCAATCCGAATACACACTTGCTGGAACTTATGCAGAAAGTCCGACACAGGCTCCTTCTCCCTTTGCTGGAGGGCATACAACTCATCCCTCGCCCGGTGAGTCAGATTGTCCATTCGGAGTTGTTGACGCAGATCCCTCTTGAACTCGTCCCAATCGTTTACTCGATTGCCACTTTCACACAACTCACGCCACTCAACAGCGATGCAGTATATCCAACACGAGAGGCGATAGGTATTCCAGTCAACGACATGTGCTCCTCCACTTGGAACAACCATGTGTCAACATCACAATGCTTGGCACCGTCATAAGTCTCAGGCTTCTCCACTTTCACGCCCATTGGTGCCACTCCACGACCAGAAATCAACTCAGTAATCAGCTCGGCTATATCCCAAGCTAGAGCACGAGATCGACTGTCACCTCGATACTCAGCAGCCTGCCTTTCCTCATGCAGTATAGAGGTGGCCACCCGGATCCGTTAATAGCGGACAGAGGTTAATTTCCGTTAATTTTCCGTTATTTAACAGAAAATAACAAAAAAAGACAAAAAAATTAACCAAAAATTAGCGGATTTTTGGATTTTTTGGGGATTTTTGGGTTTTTTTCATACTTATAGTTTATGGAATTCGCTATTAGAGAGTATGTTTGTATTTTATTTCAACCTATGCATACTAGATTTTCGACTAGCCGCAGTTGTTGTGATTTTTTGGGTTCTTTTTTGATTTTTTTGGATTTTTTTTTCTGAAATTTTCTCCCTTTTTCTTTAACAAAATTTAACGGACAGCTGATAAAAATTAACGAACCAGATTCAACGGACCGGATGGCACCCTTGAGTGGCCAGCTCTAATGCAATATGGCTATCTCCCGTGAGCGGGAGACGACTGGAGCCTCCAGTTGTTGATTCCGTTCGCGGGTCTGGTTGACCTCCTGCATCAACTTCTGATAACGCTCCTCCGCCTGACGAGGCTCGTCAGGAAGCTCAACTTCCTCTTCTCCCATCACAACTGGTTGACCATCATGATGCGCTATGGAGATAGGTAGATCGCCCTTTCGATGCTCTTGGTTGCTCAGCTCCGAAACCACTGTAGAATCTCCCAGGATAATGGCGACCAGATCGAGGCACATTGGCGGCAGTCGGCAATGTATTACAATGGTGGTGGGCCCCCTGTTGCAGACAAGGTCGAGTGCACCAGCGAACTGAGACAAATGGCCTATGGGGTGCCCACTTTTATAGGTGGCGCGCTCCCCCTCTCGTCATGACACCCTCGGTCTCCTGTAATGTCCAATACACTCTTGTTATGCCAACCTCGGCCTTCTGTAATACCACCTCGGCCCTTGGAGAGCCACTCACATGGTCCCTTGGCCCCTTGGCATACCCCTAGTAATGCCAGGCGGCTTCCCCAAGCTATACCACGTCCCTCCAAGGTACCATGGCCGTAGGGGCGCTTGTACCTATGATTCAATGTAATGCAGGTACCTGACGGGTGCCCGTGCTGCCGGATCAACCCCATAATCTCTTGGAGTGTACTCCACCACTTCTTGGCGGCTCCCATCCACCCATGACCGCGCACAACATCATAATAGACTATAATATTCATAATCACACCGGTTCCATCAAGGAATAATACCCCAAATAGCCAGAAATGGGCTAAATGACCTAAATTGCCTTAATGACCTTATTATACCGAAAATTGGCCCATTTAACAAGATGAATGTGGCGATCATGATTAACACATTTCGAGACTCAGATGAACGCATTTAACATATCTAAGTCATCTAATTACCCGTCACAATACAGTACAGTGTCCAGTCACTACAACCTGCAACGATCTCGGCCGTTCAACGCTCGGCCAAGACCGCTGCAGGTCGCTCTAAGGTCGACCTCAATCCCCGGCTCGAGTGCCAGCAAGACAAGCCAGCATGTTCACCAGGCTCGCCAGGCCGGTCTCCATGACCGGCGCGACCTGGGCTCCGAAACCATGTTGTGTGGTTTCGCTATTCGCGCTACTCGCTCGCGCTCACGCACCGTCGCTCCCAGGCACGGGAAGCAAGCCGCAACCAGATAGACTACAGAAGGTTCTGTCTGTCATGTAGCATTCACTGCAAGCATGTTTAGTTCGTGTCCTTCCCTCATCATTCTCCATATCGCCATAATAAACACTATATTCAATTCACCATAATCCCTTAATTACTCAGACACCTTTTCCTTGTCCTCACAATCATGATGGTGAAAATGGAACGATACAGAGAGGACTAGCATGCCCCCTGCGTAAGGATGACACACACAGATCGAGAATGGTTCGACAGGTTCTGAGGCAAATTTTGTAGCGTTAATTTGGGATGCTTTATCTAATCTTTGTACTCACATGAATACATGCATATGTGGCAATCTAATGTAGACTCGGGAAGTCCAAAGTGTACTAGTATCAACTTCAGCGTATTTAATGCTCATGCCACCACGTGAAAGTACATCATCTATTGTGGTCTGGCATGGAGTGCCAAAAGTTTGGCACGAGGGCAGTGCCCCATGTGCGATAACTTTGTACATTTAGTAATACACTATCTTATTCCAGAGCTGCACCCAACACTTGAAACTGTAGTACGCCATGTCTGGCCCGACACCAGCCTTTGCAGCAAGGAACACGTACCTTGCCCTTCTGTAAAATCGCCAAATGCGATTTTACCATGCTTCTGACTGGTACCGATTGTCATACAATTACATAATTTTTCTTCATGGCCACGTTATCGGTGGCCCCTCTCCTGCTGTTGTGTCCGACTGATGCCAAGATTGGTAGCATCGAATTAACAGTTACTACATAGCAATCCTCCCAATTACACAACGGTCGTCCTTCCCCATGATGAATTTAAGACATTGCCCCTCCAGGAGCGTCGAATCGGGTCACGCACAACTCTAGTTTAGGGATCGCAAGCACGCTGCTTGGTTCCCTGCGATGGGTCCAACTTTCCATGCGCGTGATGATTGAGGACAGCACAGGAAGCTTACACGAAAATTGCCGCAGAGGTGCAACAAATATCCCCTGCGGTTTAGGACTGTCACCATGATGCTGCTGTTTTAATGGGCAATCGGCTACAAGCTTCACAGAGATCGCTGTATATTACATTCCCATTATACAATTATACAACCAGGTACAATCAAAGTACGATTCCAGCCACGAGTCTAGATACAAGCCCATCCACTACCCTCTCTTCGAGACAGTCCGTTCGTGTCTGCCAATGGCAGTTCGTTTCCTCGCTATCAGTGCTGTCATTCCCTTTTGAGACCTCACCTAATTATGCGGAGTTGTGGCAGGGACCCTAGGGCTTTGAGGCCAAACGCAGTGACCCCGCGGCAGTGGCTCACATCGAGAAGGCGAAGGGAATGGAGAGAAGATATGTGCAGCAGGCCGTAGTCCCTCACGCGGGGACAGTTGCTCAGGTTGAGATGCTCAAGCCGCCTGAGTCGGGACAGATAAAATAGGCCCTGGTCCGAAATCCTGCGACAGAAGCTGAGGTCCAGATGCTTCAGGGCCACCCAACCCGCCATGTTTTGTAGGGCACTGTTGCTGACGGATTCACAGCCCCCCAGGTTCAGGCACGTGAGGGCCGGCAAGAAGCGGGCAAAGGTCATGTTGTTGCCACCGATGAGAGCACAATCCCGCAGATCAAGGCTCGTAAGCGCTGGCAGGTGCACGAGATTGGCCACGCCCACGTCCGTCACCACGAAGCAGTTGACGAGATGCAGCTGCGTCAGGGACTTAGCGGCGCTCAGTCGGCGAACACCACCATCGGTTATGTACCGGCAGTAAGTCAGATTCAAGTCCTGCAAAGACGTCAGGGCGGAAAACACCGACATGCCGCTGTCCGTGACCCTGTCGCAGAGGCTGATGTTGAGGTGGCGTAGCGCCGTGAGGGCCTGAAGCCAGGAGAGACCGGCGTCCGTGACACGGTCGCAATACTGCAGGTCCAGGAATTCCAAGGACACCAAGCCAGCCAAGTGCTGCAGGGTCGCGTCGCTCGTCTTCCGGCACTGCTTCAGGAACAGATACCTGAGCTGTGTCAGGGCGCCCAAGTGCCTCAGACCGCCGTCGGTAACGTTGCTGCACCTCGTCAAGTCGAGGTACTCCAAGGTGGTCAGTTGCGCCAGGGTGCGCACGCCCTCGTCGGTGACCTTGTCGCAGTATTTCAGGTCCACGTGACACAACCGTGTCAGGGACGTCATCCTCGAGACCACGGCATCCGTGACATTCTGGCACGCCGTGAGGTGGAGGTGCTGCAAATTGGTCAATTCCGCCAAGGCGCTCAGCCCTTCGCTCTTCGTCTTGTCGCAGTACCTCAGATCCAGCCGCTTCAGTGCGGTGGAAGACAGCAGGCGCTGCAGGCAGGCATCAGTGGTTTGGCGGACGCCCCTTAGCCTGAGCTCCACCAAGCAGGCCGATCCCATCACTGCCATCAAGCCCGCCTCCGTGAAGCCAGAGCACCCCTCCAGATCAACTTTGGACACCGAAGCCTTGGCGCCAAGTGCCACCAAATTTTCATCGTCAATACCAGAACAGCCAGAAAGGGTAAAATCCTTCACGCACAAAAATCTTTCACTCATGGATTTCAGGACCGTGGCAAGGGGCATGCCTTTAGGTGCGATTTGCTCAACAGTCTTGGATCCCCAGAGCGCCCAGTGCTTGTTCACAAGGCGAATAGTTTTTATGAGTTGTACTCTGTCCTGTCCCCCTAGCCCCAGCAGGGTTTCGGTGACACGGTGTAGAAGGTCGCATGGCAGGTGGCCCCAGTCCTGTGAGCAGCAGACAACACCTCAACGCCACGTGTGCAGGAAGAGGCAAGAATCTTGTGCATCCCCCATGCAATCCGGAGTCTTGACATATTTGTGGCAAGAGCTCAGGTATTGCGTGGGCTTCTGTATTTTGTGCAAACTCCTGATGGACACCTGCCAGTTGCCCTGTCCACGTTGTACGCAGCTACAACTGGTTTCAGTACATCACAACCTTCTGAGGCTTCACAATATCCAAGAGGGGGTTGCCTTATCCTCAAAATTCGTGCTTTGAGAAAAAGATATGGAACTGGCCACAGAATGTTTGATTGTGCCAGTCTGTGCTTGTGTTGTCTATTGCAGGAAAGTTTGTTCTTTCTGTTGGCAACAACCCACACAATCGATTGAATGCAAGTGCATTCATGTACTTCTGAGGTTGTCACAATGTGCTGAATAAAATAAAATGGGCACGGGAATGCATCTTTACAATGTAGAGCAGGCCTCCAAAGCACTGATCGCAAATGTCTGTTCAAAAACCCACCTCCATCCCTCGGGAGTCGATCGCCACTTTTGACGGCCTGTGCAAGGCCTGGAAACAAGCAAGCAACAGTCTTCTGTGTCAAACCAGACACAGGGGAACCTAACAGAGCCAGCAACCCTCCCGAACCATTGGAGAGTGGGAGCAACATGGCCCTGACGAACCAGGTGTTCTGTTGGGTCCTCGCAGGACCTCTGGCGGATGGAGATTGATGAAATTGTGGCCATCTTGGGAGTTGTGGTGGTTCGAATTGTGATCAGGAGTGCCGTTCCTAACCTCACAGACATTTTCTCCGACAAACATCCACAGTCACAAGCTGCATTGGACCAGCGTTGGCGCCAAGACAAACGCCAGAGTGGTCCACGCTCAGAGCATTGGCCGCAGACGGTGAATCTGCGAAGTCAGAGGAAAGGAGCCGGGACAATGCAGGTGCAAGGCACGATCTCCCCGGTTCTTTCAGTAGGTCTCTCCACGACGCGGCACATCCACCGCAGCCCCAATCAAGCATTCCTGCTCAAAAAGAAACTGGTCAAGTCAGCTGCCCACCCCCGCCTTCTTTCCCTACCTTCCTGCGCCTTCCACACCTCAGCTTCCGCGCAATTCCCTCCATGAAACCCATCTACACAATCCTCCCGACCGGTTTCTTCGACTGTTGAGCTTCTGGCGCAGGTAACTCTTCCGGAAGGCTGTCGAACTCGCGCCCGTGCACCTTGCGCATGTCGTACGGCTGCAACGCCGCCCTTCATCCCCTGGGGCGGCGTCCACCCCCGAAAGGACAGCTTTGTACTTCCTGTCGCTTCGAGTGCGATGCAAAATGGTGGAAGTTGCGAGGAAGCTTTTCTGATTCTCAGCCTGCCAAAGAAACCCTAAAGGTTGCTACCTCCCGCCAGTGTGTGACAATCCCATTGCGCAGCGGTGGTGGGGCCCTAAATATTACCGAGGCCGTAACGAGGTCCAACAGAGGTCATTACTGGCCGCTGATCGGAATGCAGCAACAGTATTTAAAAGGGAGCATTACATGTACTAGATGTCGCCCGAGGGCTGGGCGCACACGGCAATGTGCGCCCTCGGGCTGGACTACATCATCCCCGGGGGTGATGTAGTCCAGCCCGAGGGCGCACATTGCCGTGTGCGCCCAGCCCGAGGGCTACATCGTGCAACTCGCCCGTCACCCCGCCGACCTGGCAGCGGATGTCGCCATCACTGGGGGCCGCCGCAGTATCATAATCATCAGGTTTTCGGGCGGGCTGCTGATTGCGAGGCTGCAGCCCTAGCGAGGGCAGCGCCCAAACCCTTCCGCATCATTTTTCTTCCCCGCTGTCTGTCCCCACTGGGGAACCCGTGTTGTTGGTGTCGGTGGGTTGTCCTGTGACTTCCATCATCCGCCCATGAGCAGTGAACTCATTTCTGACGCACCTCCGCCAGGAATGGCGGGTGCCAGAAAACGCAGCCGCCGCCCACCAGTCGATCGCACTTGCCACGACACGGTCGAAGCAGCCACGAGCTTGGCGCCGTCCGCAGCGGTTGCTACCGAAGCAGCACCTAACTTCCGCAGTATGGCTGACCAGCCACCGGGAATTGGGAATGGCGTGCAATCGAATGGCTTCGCCCACGGCCACCACCCGGGCGGCAACAACGTCGTCGTGCTCGACTTTGGTTCGCAATACACGCAGCTGATCGCGCGTCGCGTGCGCGAGATCGGTGTGCACTCAACCCTCCTGCCCGGGGACGCTTCTGCGGTGAGCCTCTGGCGTCATTCTGCGCGCCCTGTGGGTCACATTCCACGCTGCCAGGGATGCATTTGGGGCGCGGGGCGTGAAGACCGCCAGATCTGACCCCCAACCAACGCGTCGCAGGATCGGATTTTGAACGAGGGCGTCGGGGCTGTGATTCTGTCAGGCGGGCCGCAATCGGTGACGCAGCCCGACGCCCCGCGGTGCCCGCCCGGTTTTCTGGCCCTCTGCGCATCGTCCAGCGTGCCTGTGCTGGGCATCTGCTATGGGATGCAGCTGATGGTGGACTCTCTAGGAGGCGAGGTGCGTCCCTCGTGCGAGGATGGCGCTGAGTACGGCCGCATGGAGGTCGATACGGCAGCCGGGGCAACCCTGTTCGCAGGCGAGGGCTGTGGGGGAAGGCAGACGGTTTGGATGAGCCACGGCGATGGGGTCGTGCGCTTGCCGGAGGGATTTGCGGCGGTGGGCACCAGCAACCAGGTCAGCCCTACGCAGGCCAAACAGCGCCACAAACAACGGAATCGAAACTGCCAATCGAAGTGCTCATCGCACGCCCGATGGGCATGAGTCAAGTGGGAAGACGGGACGGTGCAGGTCCTGCATAAAGTGGCCCTCTTTCGTGTGTCGAGTCATGCACGTGTACAGACCGGAAATTGCCACTATCGTCAACGGGCTCTGATGAGGGTCTCCCTTTTGGTGGGAAGCAAGCATTCCCACATATTGCAGTCGTCAAATTGTTGTGACATGATGTCAGAAATCATTGCCTTTTTGCAGAGCAACCGATTTCGATGCTAAAGGATACATTTGTTGTGTGGCACAGGGTGTGATTGTGGCCGTGGAGGACCCAAAACGTCGATTTTTTGGCTTGCAGTATCACCCTGAGGTTGTGCATTCTGAGAACGGCCGAGCCACGCTTCGACACTTTCTGATGGGGATCTGCGGGCTGGTGGCAAACTGGAGCATGCAGAATGTACTGGACGACCAACTGAGACGAGTACAATCACAGGTCGACCACATTCCCTATTGTGACTGGAATGACCATTGCTGGCAATGCGGATGTCTCACACAAATCTGTCACGACTAGTGCTGGCCATCATGGCTGAGTATTCAGTTTCCATGTACCTGTGCAGGTTGGCCCACATGCACACGCCATCTGCGCCCTTTCTGGTGGAGTTGACAGTGCTGTGGCTGCCGCCCTTGTTCACAGAGTCCTGGGAGACAGGCTGCACTGTGTGTTTGTGGATCACGGCTTACTCAGATACAAGGTATGCTTGATTGTGCACAACATTGGTGACATTCTTGAACAGCAGCTTTGAAGAGTTGATTGAGACAGTTTACAGCATTTTCCTGTGTTTTTGCATGCTTTTACCACTATGGAGACCACTTGTGTCCTGCATACTGACAGCGTACCTGAACATGAAGTTTTTTCCAGAATGTAAAATGAAGATGCGACTGGAGGTGACCTCTTGTGCTTTATCTTCTTCCACTGCCATGTGCACTGTATGCAGCTTCCCACAATTCAACTAGTTGTCACTTTTTGTGCATTTCTAACTGTGGAAATTGATGCCACTACCCATAAAGTTGTACAGTTCTCCCACACCTGTGTCCATAATCGGAAAACCATCCCTTGCTGAGCTGGAAGACTTGCTGATCAATTCGTCCTTGGTGCTTAGGAGCGTGAACGCGTATGTGAGATGTTCAGCAAGCACCTGCACCTCAGTGTGACCATAATGGACCGCTCAGAACAGATGCTTGCCAGGCTGGTGGGGGTCACAGATCCGGAGGCCAAGAGGAAGGCCATTGGTGCGGAGTTCATCAAGGCTTTCCAGGATTTCAGGGATGAACTCATGCAACAGCAGGAAATCAAACCAGCTTTCCTAACTCAGGTGTGCTGTTTGCTCCACACTGTATACTTTGTGTACACTTTACTGTACTCTGCATTGTTCACCAACCCAAGGAAACATCTCGTTTGAGTGCAGGTGCATGAATGTGGCACTATGCTGATCTTTGCTTCGTTGCCATTATCGTGAATGCACTGTGGAAGAACATCAAATCACTGCCAAGCAGAGCAGTCTATTATTCAGAGTGTTCAATGGCGAAAATGGCACAACTACCTGCGGTCATCACTGGGTCATATGGACCAGGGCATGCTGGACCAGATGTGCCTGGTGAAGTTTCAACCTTGCTTCTTGATGCTGAGAAAGTTTATGGCTCAGAAGCGGGATGAATGTTGAATTTGGGTTTGGGATTGCGCGGATGGAGATCGTCACAGGTACAATCCGTATTCAACATTTTGCATGCCTAGGCTAAATTGCTGGATGACCTTTTGCCAGATTAGACAAACACATTCGGAGGTATTGCTCACAAGGCCGTTGAATGGCTGAAACATATTGATGAGCAGGGTACTCTGTATCCGGATGTCATCGAATCTTGTCCACCACCTGGCAGCGGAAGGACCCACAGCCATACGATCAAGTCTCATCACAATGTGGGCGGTCTCCCGAAGGACCTGCAATTCGAGTTGATTGAGCCTCTCAAGGAACTGTTCAAGGTAATTGCAGTGTGGAATCCAGCAACAAATTGTGCCCATAGGATGGAGCCATTCAATGCGTGGCCGTCATGTGGTCGCCTCCACAGTGTATGCTTTTGTTCCGAGTCCAGTAGTGACTGAACTGCAAGAGCAGTGCTTCTGGAAGTAAATCAACTCACTTTTCACGCAAAAGCTGTTTTCAGCACAATTTATAAAGAACTGACATTCTTGCCCAGCTTAGTGTGCAATATTTAGCAGGGTGCAAGTTGATCCGCTGCGGCAATTTTGCAATTTTGTGCGTTTTTCTCATTCTAAATATTACTTCACACTCGGGAGTCCAGATGCCAGCACTATTCTGACAAAGTAGATGCCTACCTTGTGCAGCCCAGCAAGAATTTGCCTGTCCAGTGGCACCCAACAAGAATGTGCACAGCGATGTTTTGCAATGGACAGTGTTGGTATCTACATGAATGTCCAGTCTCAAAGAAAGCTCAAAGAAAATTTTGGCCTGTACTACAGAAGTCGATTGTGGCTGTTCTACACAACAGTTTATGCTAGTATTTCGAAATTCCAGCTGGAGCGCTGAGTGCTGATTAGAGCACAACAAACAATTTCTTAGGTACTGATGCGGAACATGGTTCCTTCCTTCATCCTTTCTTTTCTGGAAGAATGTTCCAGCACAGCACAAAATTTGGCATAAAGTCACTCCCAGCCTAAATGCAGCAAGACTTGACCTTGTCAAGCAATAAAAATATCCCAGTGCTTGCAGAATTGTTACACTGGCTTGCAGACGAGAAAAGAACAGCAAAATCTAGTTTTGAAGTGAAACACTCAAGGTATGTCCTTATGTCATTCCAAAATCACAACAGCAACAGGAAGTGAAAGGAATGCGCAGGGGGTGTATCCCTCCCCAATGGTGAACCTCATGCGATGCCACCAGCAACGTGCAGCACACATGAGCTGCATCTTGAGCAACGCTGCTCTTGCCATTATGTGCAGGATGAGGTGCGGCAACTTGGGAGGCTGTTGGATGTGCCTGAGGACTTCATCAGGCGGCACCCCTTCCCAGGGCCTGGCCTTGCTGTACGCATTCTTGGCGATGTGACCATTGAAAACAAGCTAGATGAGCTCAGGGAGGTTGATGAGATATTTATTGAGTCGATAAGGGAATTCGGACTGTATGACAAGATTTGGCAGGTCAGTACAGTGTATCACATGTTGTCTTGCAGTTATTATTGTCGAATAGCTTGATGTTGACCTGTTCTAAAATTTGGCAACATACACACCTTGTGAACACAACCACTGTATCTGTCACTTGCCCATATGTCATTTGTCCAGCCTGTTGTGTGCTACCTATGACATTTGCTTGGACAGAAGGCTTGTTGCCCTGTATCTCAGAATCCGATTGGTGCTGGGGCAACTGGAATCAAATTCCATTTTCCGTGATCTAATTTGATGGCATACTCGGCTGGCACAAGCATAAATCCAGCCCAAACAGCTGGTTGAAACACAGTTACTTTCTTGCAAACAGCTATTTGTGATACCACAGTAAATTTCGACTGCAGTGTGCCACATTCACTGCATGGGCCACACAGGTTCGTCTATTCATAAATGTGCCTGACACCGTTATGCGCATTCCATGTGGGATTGTTGCTTCCGTCATGATGCTGACACACACATATCGCCACTCGGTTCTTCAACATCGCAGGCATTCGCCGTCTTCTTGCCTATTCGCTCCGTTGGGGTCCAGGGAGACCAGCGCACGCTCTCTCATGTTATTGCCCTCCGTGCGGTTACCAGCATGGATGGCATGACCGCTGATTGGTACCCTTTCGAGCCCAAGTTCCTGCAAACCGTGTCGAGTAGGATATGCAACAAGGTCCGCAATGTGAACCGGGTGGTGTACGACGTGACGAGCAAGCCCCCAGGCACAATCGAGTGGGAGTAAAGACTGGACGCCAATCGCAAACAACGGATTGTCCAGGCGCCTGCATGCATGTTAGAAAGGGGTTGGGGGTTGGGGCTGGAGAGTGCAGGTCAGGTTTGGCAGAAGAATTGTGCAAGGGCATTGTGTGACAGAATTGAGGGATTTATTGCGCTACGGGGAGAGTCTGGATGAGTAGGAATATTGTGCATCGGTACAGCACATCAGCAGGATTGTCTATAGTCCTGCAGACTATGGATATGCTGGATGAAGAATCTGGAGTTCAGTTTTCTTCTAGGCAATGCACATCTTTTACTCTATAAAGCGACGCTCACCCGTGCAACCTCCGTGCTCGTCTCCACTTGGGGTTCTCCAGGGTAGGGTTGTTTCTTTCTTCGTTCTATCGTTGGCTTTTCTTGAAGCCCATTGGCCAGTTTCAGGGATTAATACTTCAGCTTGAGCTCATTGGCACATCAGCACCGGCTTGTGGTCCAAAATGATATTCTTGTTGCAGCAATGAGCAGCAGCAGACCCTGCCTCTCCATGTCTCCGCAGCCAAAGGAAGAAGTCGAATAGAATCGAGTAGGAGGAAGGATGGACCAAGTGTGACAGTGCAGATGGGGTGTACGATGAAAGGTCTTCTGGCAATTCCACTGTACGAAGGTGGCATCCATTGGGTAGACCACTACGTAGATACTTAGACGACAAATCCAGCGCAGGCTCAGAACGCAGAGATGAAAAGCGTACTCTCGTTTCCCAGCAAACCCTTATGTCCTTCTATTGACCTGGATAATCCAGAAACTCCAGATTATTCGGGGCCACGCATGATCGCCAGTAGCCACAAGGGAGGCCATCTTGCAAACTGAAGTGTTTCCTTCGATATCGACTGATACATTGGTTTATCGGGTCAAGAGGAACCTAGTTTTACTCACATGTGGTCTGTTTTGGCCCTTGTTTTACCAGCATTTTGTTCGCAGGAGTTTTGTTCATTGGTAGCAAAACGTCCTTTGGTGATGCACTCACGCGGATTGGCGAGATAGGCTCCTGCACCCAGAAAAGTCGAGAACAAAGGAGTCCAACGGATACTGGTTTACCCAGACCACACATGCAAACGAAGGCTTCGCTGTAATGTCGCCGAGGAAGGATTAACAGCCTTGTTTGAACGACTCAATTTACAGTTTTTGTGAATTAAACAGCCATGAAATTTGTGCATCGGTCGACCAATACTCTGGGGCTTTCGGCAGCTCCCTGTTGCAGTGCAGAATCCATAAGCACTCGAGAACGTGGGGCCAGTTATATCCATCACAGCACTATGCTGCGGTCTTGCAGGTACAGCGGCTCAAACCCAATCGCCCTTGAGTGGCATGTGTGCTATGGACAGCATGAATTTGTACTGCACAGCCACATCGGGCACTTTCACCACAGCCCTGTCCTAGTGGCCAACCAGCCCATTGTGGAGCCGACAGCAGGCTTGCAAGTGGTGCACTTCTGAAAGGCCTGTCTGAAAGCTCCAGGGCCAACAGTCATGGAAATAGCCACCATATTCACAGGCCGATGATGCTTGTAGTGAAGAGCACATACTGTCCTCTCCTCTGTGTCTTGTCTGCTGTGGTGTAGCCTCTTGAACTAGCAAAGTCAAGTGCAACTTCACTGAGGATGAGTCACACAATTGACGTCAAGATCCCTGTGGACGATGTGAGAGGCACACACAGGTTCAACCACTGCAAGCAGCCGACAATTCACAAAGTAATTGTTTCAGCATGTCTGTTCTGTGAATGAGTGCAGAGCAAGCAGCATTTGGAGGAATTGGGACATTGCAGAGAGTCAAGAGAGAACAAGCTGAGCCATCTGCCTTCTATCTGAACGTTAAATCAATGCAGGTTACCCCATTGTTGCACCAGCTGCATGCTCCTGGGTGTAGCGTAGCTTCTTGTAACTGTCCACACACGTACACACACACACACACATACACATGAACAACAACAATGAAGAGGTGGGATGTTTCTATCCTTCTTGAATGTCGATGCAACACATTCTGCATTCTTACACTGCTACAATGAGCAAATAATGACAGCGCAGTTCTTGCAGGCATCCCCAGAAGGTATTTTTGTTGCAGAGTGTTGTCGATTTCATTCTTGTCCACAGTGTTACCTCTATTCTTCACAGCAGAGCAGCACCTGCTGAATGCTTGCTTAGGAGGGGCTGCTCCATTGTATGACCTGTTTTCCAGGGTTTAACATACATGTTGAAAAGAACATACACGCATGGTAAGGCTGCTTCACACAAGACTGTGTGCTAGAAACTTGGGCGATCCAGCAATTCAGTTACTTGGATTTCAACAATTTCTGGCAGCTCTTAGTCCTCAAGGTGTGCCTTCTGGATTGGCACTTTGGCAGTTCTGAATATGAGGGTTTTCCCAGCTGTCAGGGGCATTACTTACTTTTGCATTCATTTGCCATCCATTCTTGCTTTCTCTGGGTCTCTGTACTGTGAGAACTTGTACATAATTGAGTGTTTTAGTGCATGGGCGAATTCAAGAAATTCTGCAGCTGGTTCCATTCCTAGAAGCTGCAGTTTATGAGCGTTCTTATTTCCTCAGCTGATGGTAGTCACAGCCAGCATTTGCCAAGTGTATTGCTAAAGCAGGTCAATGCGCACACGTACATTGCAAGCCATTGGGCAAGCAGCGCATTCTTGTGAGTGCTGCACAGACTTGACAACATTGAAAGAATTGGGCTCGTGGCAGTTGCTGTTGGAGATGTGTTTAAACGATCAATTCATCCAAACACTGAACGGCGAACGTTGATTGCACATATTGGCCAAGTAGATTGGACGAAGTTGGAAGTGAATAACAATGTGCCCGATGTCCTACACAATTTTGTTGCAACCTCCTGGTAGACAACATTCCAGATTCTATTTTCCCATCCATTTTTCCCATCCCTCGCCATTCACAGCAGCATGCATGGCCAGGTTACTGTCATCTGGCGTAGGATCACAAAGGAGCACTTACATTGCCTGATCCAGGTCAACACCACTGACATCAGCAAGTCGAATGGCGCAAAGAAGCAGCTGCAGGACACAGAACCTGTTGAGAAACTTGCCTGCAGAATAGAAAAATCATCTTGTGCAACCCCAGCACTCCCTGGTAACTTTCATTCGGGTGTACCCAGTCTCAGGGTTTATCGCTGCACGTGCTGCTTCATACTGCATGCTTTCATGTCGCACTCTGAGACTGCTGGCACTATTTCAGTTGAGAACGGAAGTTCAGAACAGACAAGAGTCCTCACCAAATTCTGGATCAGGTGGGGACCGCCCGTTTGCGAACTGCTTCTCTAGTGTTAACAAGCTTCACTAGAGGTGCACGCCGCTATTCAGTATGTCGCTCTTCACATTCCTCACATGGGTACCTCCTTGTCAACAAAGGTGTGCATTCGTTCCTGTCCCCACTTTCGTGTCGATTGCGACACCGCATTCCGCCGCATTCCTCGAATTTCAGCCACCACTTACATCGGCAACCTCTTCGGACACCCGCGTCTTTTCTTCTGGGTCGAAATCTGCAGGAGTCCATGCTCACTGGTCACCGCACATGGTCACTTCAGCACAAAGAATGCCGCAAACAGCACGCATTCCGATTCTGAAGGACTAGCACGGCCCCGTCCGCAAAATGCGCAGTTATCTACCTGGAAGCCCCTGGGCAACCTCGCCCCGCCACTGGAAGATCTCCGACAGCCTCCCCACGTCCCTCATCTGCGCCAATGGCAGTCCATCAAACAGGGACCTCCCTCGACTGGCAGCAGGGCATCAGCGGCGGCACACAGTGAATACCCACCATCGCGAGCAACAGATTCCTCGGGGCGTGGTATTTATCCCAGTCCATGTCCGCCACCAGCCGCCGTGTCGCCATGCGCAGGTCCTCTAGGGACACCATTGCAACCAGCGGCACAGGATCCTTGGCGACACGGGGCTCACTGGGAATTGTAATTGTCGGCGATCGGGGTCAAGCCTCGCTGCACGGTCTTGGAGAAGGTTTGGCCCTTCGCTTCCCCCTCACGGCCGCTGTGCCTTAGTTGGTACCCTGGGACACAGTGGCAGTGGACGAGCAACGACCACAATGCAGCACTCACCCCACAGAATTTTTGCTTGGATGTTCATGGTGGCGACAAATGATGTCGGTTTCATCCTGTCTGCACGGCGCTGCGCTGAAACAGGCCACATCGCCGCCCAAGCGGCTGGTGCTGCGTATTGGAAACTCGCCCAAAGTGCAGCGTGAACATGGCTGGGAGCACGTCGGTGGAGGCCCAAAGGGCGTGCCAGGTGTCTTCTTGGTACCGCGCTTTCGAGCACCTGGTCCACGCCACGCAGCTGATTCCCCTGCCACCCGACTTTGTCGACTTCCTCGTGGAGGATGGGATCCACGCGGGAAACGCCAACGGAGCGGTGAGCCACTTATGGGACACCTGTCTGCACGCTCTACGAACAGATGGCAACACAAATGTCAGAACAAAACCATCAGCATTCAGTACATGCTGTGATGGTGATGTGATTGTCATGATCTTATTCTTGCTCAATGGGTTGGCAACCAAAGCCCATCATATGGAGAGTTTCAAATTATTGAAGTAATCCAAATAGCGTTGGAGAGGGGGGGACATTTTGTCTAACACTGAACTGTAGGTAGAATAGCTTGAAGATGTGCAAACCTGGACTGGGAACGTTTTGACAGAACACTGGTGCAGTATACTGCAGTTTCCAAGTGGCACCGACAATAGTAGATTTACATCCACTTCAGAAGAAGAGTCAACAGATGGGTCAGAAGGGGAAGACAGCGATGCAAGGGTCCGGGACTATCAGCAAGAATTCAGCTCTCTCCTGGCTGATGTGAACTCAGCAATAGAGGAGCTGGGAGGCAAAGTAGCCCCAAAGCTGAACTGGAGCGCACCCCTGGACGCAGTGTGGATGCTACCTGGCAGAAGCCTGAAGTGCGAAAATGCAGATGAGGTGAGGGCTGCACTTGATGCATTGCTGTGCGTGACTGTTGTATGCCAGTGACTGCATTTGCATTTGGACAATGTTGTCATTTCTGACTCTTGTTTGCATTTTCCTCCATCTGTTCTGCATGTTGCGCTTGCTGAACCATCATTAGGAGTGCAGAAGGGACTGCAGAATGTGAGAATGCAGCTTCCTTATCACACTTGATGCACTGCGATGCGTCATCACCAAGGATGTGAGACTGGGCCCCCATTTAGAAAGAAATAAACCTGCAATTGTGATGATGAGTTAGGATGCCACACTCATGTGCAAACATCCAGAGAATACAATCCCAGTGAAATGTCACCGTGCACAACTTCTGCAGCAGAAACTATTGCCGATCCCTGCTTCTCCTCCACATCCAGTTCAAGATGATAAGAGTACTTGCCTTGTGCACCTGGTGTCCTAATTTTCCTTCCATCTCAAAACCTCGCCATTCCAATACCAGTTGAAATATGTTCTAAATGTCGATTTGTACCTCGCTTGTTGCAGGTGGTGATGCTCCTGAAGAGCTCTGATCGGGTGGCCCACGATATCTGCCATGCCTTTGACCACTGTCCTGGTGGTCCATCTCTGCCGCGACCAGATTTCTTTCTGGCCCTCAGAAAATGGTACGATCTGAGGCCTGAGGGCGAGTTCAGGGCATTCGTGCGGTCCCAAGAGCTGGTGGGAGCATCGCAGCGCGACGTGTCACAGCCCTTTGCAATGGCTGCTGGTCAACGAGCTACTGTTCGGGAGCTACTGTTGGAGTTTCATAAGTCGCACATCCAGAATGTCTTCCCACTTGGCGATTGTGAGTGAGCACAACATGGTCGATAAGGCCCAACTATCGGCACACTCCAGATGCCAATGTTGCTAATACCAGGAGTTCTATTAGCTACTTGTAGATGTTGCATCTGGGCACACAAATTGTGTTGAAACAATCATTATTGAGCGTGATTTCTTCCAATTCTGGGATACGGTTAGCCAATAATGCACCTTAGACCGATTCGTCACATATGGGACTTGAGCTTGGGAATTGATTCTTATAATATTCGTGTGGTATCTGCAATCTGTCGGAAGTGATGCAAACCTCCGGTAAGTAGCATATTGTATCTAGTGCGTATGTTGAGGTCGTGAACACTGCCATGAAAGCACAGGGTGGTGCAATGTGGTTCATGGCAGGAATGTGGTCGCCAAAACCACTTTTGAGGGAGTTTTTATGCCTCCTTTGCCTTGGCCTTCTGCTTACTAGCAGATTTCTTTATGTTTTCACAAGGGTCAGAGCAAAACAATGCAAGGGACTTGCCAGGTAACTATGGCCAGGTGTTCCATCCCCATTCCTTGGGCAACACACTGGGGTGCCCCTCTTGCTTTTGGTTGTTGTACTTATCCAAGCCTTCTTGTGTCACCTGTTGCGAATTTGCAGACACTTACGATGTCTACATCACATCAAGTAACAGAGTCAAGTTAATCGATTTTAACCCCATTGGTGGCTCAACTTCGCCACTGTTGTTTACGTGGTGCGAACTTGGTTACCTGCCAAAGATGGACAGCAATGCAGATGGCATTGCAGAGGCAGCGATGGCGACCACAGAAGACAAGTCTTCCTCAAGACAGCACAGTGATCTTCCCGGTGGTTTTGGAGGTGGGTTCATGGCTTGACATTGCAGCATGTGGTGCAGTCATCTGCTAAAGCTTTCATTTTTGCTGCCTGAGCAACATGATGGCAGGACATGTGCTTGCTCATTAGACTACCTTCTGGAATGGCCTAGTGGTGGTACTTGATGGGTTGCTATTGAAAAGGTACTGTCTATGAGGCCCCTATGATATAATGTATTGTGGTCATGGAAGAGAAATATGCTGTGCAATTTGATAGCATCACCGCAGCCACAATCTGTGAGCAAAGGTGTTTCCTTTCAGGTCCAGCTGTATTTATTGTGTTTATTGGCTATTGGGTTTCCTGATGCCCTGATTTGGGTACCATGAATTCTGACAGGTTCGCCACCAATCCGCGTTGTTGGAGATCAGAGTGGGATGATGTTGGGTCAGCAAGTGGCTTATGGCATGCCCTTTGATATGATAGGCTGCTCTGTGGAGGACATGGTGAAAGCGATGGGAGCGGAAGAGGGAGCTATGGGCTAATGGCATATTTCGAATACCATGGACAGCACTCATGTGCATCAAGTTGAATGCAGATGTCTTCTTTCACCACATCTTTGCAGAACTTTTCAGATCAGGGTTTACTGCAGCATTCGAAGGGTTGTTGGCACCTGGGGTTCCTGCATTAGTGTTCAAGATTGTCTTATTGCCCTTAGGACGTTCATTTAGTGTGAGTTTGTGCACCACACGACGTCCAGGACTCCCCCAATATGACAGAGTCTTTTTTTGTGCAAACTGGGTGGTGTACGCAACCCTGTAGCAAAACAGGTCCAATACATGTGATCAAAGAAACGCGATGTTGGTCGCATGACACTTACCACAAACCCCACATTTGAGTCTTACTGCACGATCACGATGACACAATATTGCATTCTCGGCCCATATCACCAACACATCGAAGCCAATTGCAGTTCAGTATATCCGCCAATGCACCCTGGGTTCTTTCGAAACTCCTAAGCCATGATGGCAATCCCCGAGTGCCAATGTGTTGGATAGGCCACATCTGTGGTCCCGATTGTCCAATGCAGGTTAGGTCAACAGACAGATTTCTTAGCCTTGAGATGAAACATTACTAGTGGTCTATAAAAGGCCGATCAACTGCTTCAATGGTAGACGAGACACTCAACCAACTGGCATCGATGTGGACACAAGACTTGGACACCTGCCTACGCCCTTTTGGGCACAAGGTACTGCGCACGTACCGCGTTCACACAGCTCTAGCCGAGCGGTTTTGCCCATTGCATGTATCTCAATCTTTCACGATGGAAATGCCGTGCTATCAGCCAGTGGGAAGGAGATATGAGCATTGTGTGATCGATCATGGCAGCTCCGTAGCCAGCATCAGGCTCCGCAAAGTCTCCAGTTTCTTCCTGAGGTGGAATGATGGCCTAACACATCAGTCACAGTATTGGCCACAGGGTTTGGCCTTCAGCAGAACTGCGGTTTCGATGCCCACAAGCACGAGTCAATGCCAGCTTTGCGATTATAACTCTTGCAGATATGACGATGGGCTTGGTACTGGGCTTCCCTGCAGAATCCTCACATAATCATCCAATTGAGCGCAGCATCGGCAGCACAGACTGGCATTAATGACAACGTCCTCCACAGGAGGTGAGAGACCATCCCGCACATGTACCTTGCCCTGGGGTACCTTGACGTCAACGCTGCCACAACTGAAGGCAATACGAACTCTGCATTGCTCATCGCTGCCTTGCTCATCACCTTCACGCCTCGAATGTTCTGCTCAACCAGCGATCAACCCATTTGATGCCACCGTACCGCTCCTGCACTTCAGAATCCATGCGGTGAAACAGCCCCTTTGTGCGGTGCTGGCCTTCCATTGGCATGCTTGTGCTGATGAGCCCTGGTGCGATTTGCACAACCTCTATGCACTGGAAATGTGGCTCACGGCGCATAGAGTCACTAAAAGGCTGCAGCTGCGTATTTTGATGCGGAATAGGTTGACATGGTGGGTTTAGAAAGCAGCGTAGCCGAGCCTATGATGTTGACAATGCGACCCTTCCCCTCCATCAGCATGGGGAGGAACGCCTTGGTGGCGCCCGCCAGTCCCAGGAAATTAACACTGATGTTGCTGCAATAGTCATCCATTCTTGTGGCTTCCACTGAGAAGCGCCATGCAAACCCCGCATTGTTGATCACGGCATGCAGTGGGTGACACTCCAGTTGATGCCCTCCAAAGTAGACAGCCACTGACACACTCCCCATCGCTTGTCACGTCCGTGACGAAGGTGCTGGTCTTTCTCTTAAATTACACATTCAACTCCTCGGAGCCTTCCTCAGTCTGGCAGCCAGCAAAACTTTGGCTTTACATTGCATGGCAAGGTGAAGGGCTATTACATGGCCAATGCCCGTGTAACACCCTGTCACCAAAACTGACTTGCTCTCCAGCGTGAGTACAGCTGGGATCTTGGCAAAGAAGAGCTCCAGGATGGCATACAAGACTGAGAGCCCTGCTAGACAGATGGCAGCAAACCCAACTGCTTCCAAGGTGGTGATCATTGTTCTAATACAAGAAAAGCAACAGGCAGACATGCATCAACAACAGGGAATCGCCTGGTCAGATTGCAAGGTGTGCCAGGGCTGTAAGCTGATAAACGCAGGTTCTATTATCAGCGATCAATTTATATTGCTCCATGTTCCTAGCTTATGAACAAGTGATCGTGAAGGCCCACCATAATCATCAAAAATGACCAGGTGGCTTCACTGGGTCCGGTCGAGTGGTATTTTCGATACCTATGAGTCTAGTACCCCACTCGCAATATGGCAGGATAGCTGCAATTGCACGAATACAGCAGTGATTCACAGCACTGCCTACAACTGTGTTTTTTACTGCTTTTTCGTGTTCGCCTTCACATTAAAACACTTCTCAGCACTTTCTCAGTGCTGTGAACGCCTCCCTCACTCCCCTTGCAACGTGTCGCACGTCGTAAACCGGCAGTCGACACGCACACAACCGTGCGCCCAAACCCGTCAGTGCATGTACAGCGCTGCGAGGAAAACAACACAACAAAGCTCCACACGACACGCCTCCTCGGCGTGTCAGCAAGCTTATACGTGAGTTTACAGCTGAACGCACGCCTTCACAGCATTTGGCGCACGTCTATGGCCCGTTGGGACATGTGGTTTCACGCCCAGCCAGCCCTACCGACCCGTGGTGCAGTTGACACCAATGCAGCCGGTATGAAAAAACTGGTGCACTTCGAACGACACCCTGCGCTGGCCTTGGTGGTTTTCCGATGCGGAACACAGGTGCACACAGAGACAACAAGGTCACAAACCTCGCCACCGCTTCTCGCAGGGCTGTGCGAACACGTTCAGCGGGTGGAAAGGTAAATAACACTCCCGTTTGGGAGTTGAATCAAGACCCCGTCGGGGTAAACAACTAGCACACGAAACGAGGGCTGCCAACGGCTCGCCCCTTGCAGCGTCGACCACGATGCAGGCTGGGCGCACATCCAAAGACGGGCACACCTTTTGGTATCCCAAGAGACAGAGGAAGCCTTGCCAAAGGTGGCTCAACGGCCTTACACTCAGTGTCCGAAGTCACAACTGCAGCACCGACTCCAAACATAAGCAAACGGCAAGGGCGCGCCTCCCCCAGCGCCGCCAGCTCAAATTCGCAGACAGAGGGGGCTAGAGAATCTAAAGATACCCATCAAATCAACAAAATATTCCCTGTCACTGACCCACCACCACTGACCGGTCAGAACACAACGTTGTGAGCCTTGCTATGCCGCACAACGGTCACCAGCGCTGCACACGGCCACCCCAGAGACTCACTGGCCAAACGCTCACTTCATTACATAGTAAGACACATATAAAGCATGTGTAAAGTCCAATCAGCGGCCTGCGTCCCCATGGCAGTTGAGACTTCTTGTTCTATTAAATTGTCAATGTAAAGCATCCCAATTTACACCAAAACTAACCAAAACCCATTGAAATCAAGCATGCACACTCAACAAGTATAAAAAAGCCCTGCAAACCCAAACTATTCATGTTCACACAACTTCAGAAAAAAGCACACTTTCTTTTTTATCCTTTTTTATGTTTTTTTGCTCCCAAATGCCCACTCACGAGTCACACATCTTGTCATCTGCATCAAAGAGCCCAAGGTGGGCTGGCAGAGGTGCCTTAGAGGCTTCTTCAATAAACATCTTCTCCACCTTCTCCTGAACTTCTGCCACCCTTTCCTCTTCTTTCTTTTCTTGCTCTTTTTTTCCTCGGAACTCAATGACATATTCAAGCCACCATTGTGGCAGCTTCACCGTAGCAATATGCCTCTTTGAACATGCGTGGGCATCCGCCAATATTTTCAGCAGTAAATGCATATAAAATGCAACACTGCTGAATTCGTGACTTTGAATCCAGGGGGCTAGAACCTGGACTCTCTTTGGGTATCTAGCTAAATACCTCTCATGGTGTTGAGGCTCAAGGGGGGAACAACCTAGGTTGCCTTTTCAAAACCCCAAAAAGAGCACACAACTCCTTTTTTGCATCATTTTCTTTTGCCTCTTGTGGGGGGTCCTTATTATTCCCCAATGGCATAGTGTTTCTCAGCCTCTTAGTTGCCCAAGCCACCTCACCCGTCACATGGACTAGGTGACTGCTTTGGTGCACCACTTCCCACTCAACCTCTAGCTCCCTATGAAAACCAGTATGTAAAACTATATTCACATCTTCCCCTAACTTTTTTGAGCCCTCTGCCTTGGTCCCCCCCCTGCCTGGAAGCTTCCTTCAAAGTGGTCATAAGTTTAGCACCTTCCTCAGGTGCTGGCCCTGTTTTGCCCTCCTGCAGGGTCACCTCACTGGGCCCCACGGGCCCAGATTCCAGAGTAACGGGCCCCGTGAAACCATGGGGGAACTAGCTTCCCGCAGGTTCCCCGGCGGCGTAGTCACCCCCGCCGGTCCGACGGCACTTGGCCCTGTGGTCCTCCATGCCTAGTTCCAATCCCTCGACGGACACTTCAAAAAGCATCGCCTCCCACTCCTCCTCCTCGGAGGGGAAGGCGTGCCGATGGCGCTCGCAGGTCTTTCCCCCCGGCAACTTTCTGCCGCGTGTCGTAAGCCCAACGCATCCCCTCCGCGGGGCGCACCATCCGACCCAGCGCCCCCATCCGCGAGGGGTGCGGCCTCCAATCCCGCGGGCGCATCGACCCCACCGCCCGAAAATCAAGCGCCAGTAGGTCTTGAGTGGGATTCACACCGTCGCTTGGATGGCAACGTAGGAATCGCCATCCATTCCCATTCAGCGTCCGCGATGTGGGCCTCCCGCCATCCACGCAGATTCGCCACCGCCGCCGAAACGGCCAGCCATTCTGCCGGCCCCCACTCGTCCGAGTCCGCGCCGAGGGCCAGCTCAGAGTGAGGGGCTTTCTGATATGAAAGAGTTATTGGTGTGGGGCTCCTGCCCTCTTTGAGCCGCGGACCCGCCTCACCGGGCATCTAGGTCCTTACGGGGACCT